AATAAAGATGGGGTTTCACCATGTTGGTCAGGCTGGTCTTGAACTCCCGACCTCAGGTGATCTGCCTGCCTTGGCCTCCAAAGTGCTTGGATTACAGGTGTGAGCCACCGCGCCCGGCCTGTTTGTTTGTTTAGATAGGTCTCACTCTGTCACCCAGGCTGGAATGCAGTGGCACAACCTTGGCTCACTGCAACCTCCGCCTCCTGGGCTTATGCAATCCTCTCACCTCAGCCTCCCAAGTAGCTGGGACTACAGGCACACGCCACCAACTCCAGCTAATTTTTTGTATTTTTAGCAGACACGGGGTTTCACTGTGTTGCCCAGGCCGAGACTTTAATTTTTATAGGCTCATAAATTTTAGTACTTAACTGCCAGGATTTCTTGGAAAAGTTTTTAAAAGATCTCTGGATGTCAACCAATGTTATTTCTCTGTGCTTTGTATATACAGTCAAATGTTATTGTCAAAGTCATTAACAGAGAAAAAAGCAGGCAATTCCCACAAACAGAAAAGTAAAACACTGTAACACAAAGAGGGGAGAAAACCTAAGTACATGAAACCTGAGGTGAGCACACATTTAAACACCACACAGTCATTTACCTTCACTGAATTCATTTAGCAACTCTTCCTTGGTCCAATTACATGACGTTATTAAAAAAAAGCCTTTCACTTTCAACACCCTGGAGAGAGATTTCACATATTGCTTCCTCTTTTCAACTGCATTGTCAGGATTAAGGCTGATGGCATCAAAAGTCCCTTTGTCAATACAAATATGAAATCCAGACAGCTGTGTGGAAAGATTCAAAAAGTCTTCTACCTATATTAAAAGTCGATGTCTATGTGAGAACACTTAAAACACAATCCTTACAGAATGTGATAACATTTAAAAGGTATTAATAAAAGGACCCATTAATTATGACATTTTACATATAATAAACATATTTTCAACTTGATAGCTAACTTTTATGAGCTTCATTCCAAGATTACTAAAGCCAAGATAAGAGAGACTGATATTTCCTGAACATTCCAAATCTCTACAAATCAAAGCCAGCCATATTCCCTAATAATACTAGCAGAGTATGGAGCTCACAAGCCTAGTTTATGAAAAACCTGTTTCTGTCAAAAAGCAGAATATCCGACACATTCTTAAAAATGACAATTTATTTGGAACTCAGGTCACTGGAAATAAGAGTTTTTGGAGACAGAAATTTTGCTATGTTGCCTGGGATAGACTTGAAAACCTGAGCTGAGCAATCTTCCCATCTCAGCCTCCTAAGCAGATGTGGCCACAGCACTCAGCTATGGGAAGATTTTTAGCTTATATTCCTAGGTGGTGTAACCTAAAATAAACACGGTAAATCAAAAGTTCTTGGGCCTTGGCTGGTCCAAGTGCAGTGGTGTTCACAACTCATCGATCACAACCAGCTACAGATTTCTCTGTTCCTTCTCTATTACCACTGCTTCACTGACCAGCCTTTAAAAAAAAAGTTGCAGGGCATGGTGGCTCACGCCTGTAATCCAAGCACTTTGGAGGCCAAGGCGGGTGGATTACCTGAGGTCGGGAGTTCAAGACCAGCCTGACCAACATGGTGAAACCCCATCTTTATTTTTTAAAAAAATAAAAATAAATAAAAAATAAAAAATAAGTTATTGGGTCTTGACTCAGCAGCTTACAAAATTACTAATGGATAATAATGAATGGAATGGCATAAAGCTTAAGAAATTAAATAACTTTTTTTTTTCTTTTTAATTTTTTTTTTTTTTTTCGAAGACGGGGTTTCACCATGTTGGCCAGGCTGGTCTTGAACTCCCAACCTCAGGTGATCCGCCTGCCTTGGCCTCCAAAGTGCCTGGATTACAGGCGTAAGCCACCACACCCGGCCCAAGAAATTAAATAACTTTTTAAACTGTAATTACTTAAGTAGGTCCATTTCATGTTCTTTAGATGTTTAAAGTCATACATGAGCATCTCATTCACTGTCAATAACTTGATACATAATAAGCATCTGAAATAGCAATCTGCCTCAATTTTATAAAATATTCACAATTTACCAATAAAAATTCTGAAGTTATTTTGAAAAAATAATTTGGCAATTAGCTCACAATTACTCACACAAATTTAATACAGTAACTGTAAATCATGTTTAATCTAAAACTTTTAATGACTTAAAAATGTATATATTGTGTTTATGTATATTGGAAGATTGGTCTTCTCCCTTCCCGCATGTCCAAAGTATTCATTATACCTGAAGCAAAATAATGACCATCACTCTGAAGCACTAACTTTGAAGAAGCTTCCTCATCCTAAATGCCTATATAAAAATATTCACCTATTCAACAAATATTTTGTGGACATCTATTGTCAGGTAGTTTTCAGACACTGCATATAATGAGTAAACAAAATAGAAAAGGTCCCTGTATGAAAATATACCTTATATTGGCCAGGCGTGGTGGCGGCTCATGCCTGTAATCTCAGCACTTTGGGAGGCTGAGGTGGGCAGATCACGAGGTCAGGAGATCAAGACCATCCTGGCTATACAGTGAAACCCCACCTCTACTAAAAATACAAAAAATTAGCCAGGCATGGTGGCACGCCCCTGTAGTTACAGCTACTTAGGAGGCTGAGGCAGGAGAATCACTTGAACCCGGGAGGCAGAGGTTACTGTGAGCCAAGATTGTACCATGGCACTCCAGCCTGGGCAACAGAGCAAGCCTCCATCCCCCAAAAAAATACTTTATTGTTAAAAAACACTAACAAACTAGCAAACCATCATGTAAATCATGAGTAAGACATAATCTTTTCTCTGGCTGGAGGGCCTTGCCTCAATGACGATGCCTGTTGACTGATCAGGGTGATGGTTGCTAAAGGCTGGGGTGGCTGTGACAATTTTTTAAAATAAGAGAATAATGAAGTTTGCTGCATCGATTGACTCTTCCTTTTATGAAAGATTTCTCTGGAACAAATTATATTGTTTGATAGCATTGTATACACGGAACTTCCTTCAATATGGGAGTCAACGCTCTCAAACCTTGTTTCTGCTTTATCAACTAAGTTTACGGAATATTCAAAATCCTTTTTCAACAATGTTCACTGTATCTTTACTAGTTGATTCCATCTCAAGAAACCACTTTCTTTGCTCGTCCACCATAAGAAGCAACTCCTTATTTGATCAAGTTTTATCATAAGACTGCAGCAACTCAGTTACACCTTCAGGTTCCACTTCTAATTCTAGTTTGCTACTTCCACTACATTTGCAGTGAATTCTTCCACTCGAAATCTTGAACCTCTCTCCAAGTCATCCACTAGGGTGGGAATCAACTTCTTCCAGACTCATTAGTGTTGATATACTGACCTCCTATGAATTATAAATGTTCTTCATGACATCTAGAATGGCGAATCATTTCCAGAAGGTTTTCAATTTACTTTGCCCAGATCCATCAGTGAAATCACTATCTATGACAACTATAGCCTTATGAAATCCATTTCTTAAATAACACATTTAAGACTATAAAGTCAAAATTACTTATTGATCCATCATGGGCTGCAGAACAGATGCTGTGTTAACAGGAACAAAAACAAGATTAATTTTCTTATACATCTCCATCAGAGCTCTTGGGTGAATTCATGCATTGTCAATGATCAGTACTACTTTGAGTCTTTCTTTTGGGCTAGTAGGTCTCAAAAATGGGCTTAAAATATTCAGTAAACCGTACTGTAAACAGGTGTGCCATCATCCAGGCTTTGTTTTGTTCCATTTATATAGAGCTCATGCAGAGAAGATTTAGCATAATTCTTAGGGGCCCTAGGATTTTCAGAATGGTAAATGGGCATTGGCTTCAACTTAAAGTCATGAGCCGAATTAGGCCCCTCTAACAAGAATGTCAGCCTCTCCTTTGAAGCTTTAAAGCCAGGCACTGACTTCTCCTCTCTAGTTATGGAACTCCTACATGACATCTTCTTGGCTGTTTCATCTCCATTGAAAATCTGTGTGTTGTTTAGCCAGCTTCACTGGTTATTTCCTAGCTAACTTGCTACAGCTTCTACATCAGCACTTAGTGCTTTATCTTGCACTTTTATGTCATGGAAATGGCTTCTTTTTTTTTTTCTTTTTTTGGGATGGAGTCTCACTCTTTTGCCCAGGCTAGAGTGCAGTGGCACAATCTTGGCTCAATGCAACCTCCACCTCCCAGGTTCAAGCAATTCTCCTGCCTCAGCCTCCCAAAAAGCTAGGATTACAGGCACCCGCCAACATGCCCAGCTAACTTTTTGTACTTTTAGTAAAGACAGGGTTTCAGCATGTTGGTCAGGCAGATCTCAAACTCCTGGCCTTAGGTGATCCTCCTGCCTGGGCCTCCCAAAGTGCTGGGATTACAAATGTGAGCCACCATGCCCAGCCAAGATGGCTTCTTTTCTTAAATCTCATGAACTAACTACTGCTAGCTTCAGACTTTTCTTCTCCAGCTTCTTCACCTCTCTCAGCCTTCACAGAACTGAAGAGTCAGGGCCTTGCTCTGGATTACACTTTGGCTTAAGAGAATGCTGTGACTGATTTGATCTTCTACCTGGACCACTAAAACTTTCTCCATATCAGCAATAAGGCTGCTTGACTTTCTTATTATTTATGTGTTCACTGAAATATCACTTTCAATTTCCTTAAAGAAATTTTGTTTTACATTCACAACTTGACTAAATTTTGGCACAATAGGCCTAGCTTCTGGGCTATCTCAGCTTTCAACATGCCTTCCTCACTAAGCGTAATCATTTCTAGCTTTTGATTTAAAGTGAGAGATGTGTGACTCTACCTTTCAATTGAACACTTACAGGCCACTGTATTGACAGGGGGAGGGGGGTTGTTCATTTTTTATGTTTGTTTTTTTTGACACAGTCTCCCTCTGTCACCCAGGCTGGAGTGCAGTGGCACAATCTTAGCTCACTGCAACCTCTGCCTCCCAGGTTCAGGTGATCCTCCCGCCTTAGCCTCCCAAGTAGGTAGGACTACAGGTGCACACCACCACACCTGGCTATTTTTTGGATTTTTAGTGGAGAGAGGTTTCACCATGTTGGCCAGGCTAGTCTTGAACTACTGACCTCAAAGTGATCTGCCCACCTGAGCCTCCTAGTGTTGGGATTACAGGCATTAGCCACCATGCCCGTCCCACTGGAGGGTTTTTAATTGGCCTAATTTCAATATTGCCATGTCCCGAGAAAGAAGGAGGCTTGAGGGGGAGGGAGGGAGACAGATAGGAGACCAGCCAATAGGTAGAGCAGACAGAACATACAACATTTATCAATTCAGTTTACCATCTATGTGGGCACAGTTCATGGTGCCCCAAAACAATTATAATAGTAATATCAAAGATCATTGATCACAAATCACCATAACAAGTATAATAATAATGACAAGTTCTGGGCTAGGCACAGTGGCTCACGCCTATAATCCAAGCAATTTGGGAGGGCAAGGCAGGCAGATCACTAGGTCAAAAGATCAAGACCATCCTGGCCAACATGGCAAAATTCCGTCTCTACTAAAAATACAAAGAATTATCTGGACGTGGTGGTGCACACCTGTAGTCCCAGCTACTTGGGAGGCTTAGGCAGGTGAACTGCTTGAACCCGGGAGGTGGAGGTTGCAGTCAGCCGAGATCGCACCACCGCACTCTAGCCTGGTGACAGAGCAAGACTCCAACTCAAAAAAAAAATGTTCTAAAATATTACAACAATTGGCCGGGCGCGGTGGCTCACGCCTGTAATCCCAGCACTTTGGGAGGCCGAGGTGGGTGGATCACGAGGTCAAGAGATCGAGACCATCCTGGTCAACATAGTGAAACCCCGTCTCTACTAAAACTACAAAAAAAATCAGCTGGGCATGGTGGCGCGTGCCTGTAATCCCAGCTACTCAGGAGGCTGAGGCAGGAGAATTGCCTGCACCCAGGAG